CTTGGAATACCGTGGCTCAGAAGGTACGAACCACGGGTAAACTGACAACATCGAACAGTAACGATGCCTGCCGCTTGTTCATCAGATGGCCATCTGATGAACGTTTTGGAGCGTCCACAAGCGTGCGGATGTACTACGAGTGAGTGCGATGGCCTCACTTGTGGTACGCTCGTTAGTACGACTGCACAAAACCTTAGTGCAACAAATGGTTACACTTCGGAGCAAAGTTCCGGCGGCTGTGAGGAAACACAGGCTGCGCCGAAGGTCCACCACTCGAAAAAGTCGAGTGGACCGGGACAAAGATGTATCCCTAGCGGGGAACATCTAGAAGAGAAACAATCGATCGCTCAGGTTAAGCGAGACGATAATCCTATCGACTGGAGAGTCTTTCGTAGAGGATCTCGCTGTGGTTGCGCAACCCCAGCTAGAGGAAGTAAAGGGAATAAGCCCCAAATTTACAAATACGGCGGAAAAAAGTTCCCCGAAACCCGAGGGAATAAGTCCCCGGGAAGCCGAAGGAATAAGTCCTTCGAGGCCTGAGGGAATAAGTCCCCAGGAAATGACAGAGACATTGAATGTCCTAGTCAATCACGGATCAAGCGTAGGCGCTTATACACTTGATCTGATTGCGCCTCCGAAGTTGACTTCGGAGATCACTCAGTTGCCAACGCTCGAACATAAAAGGTTCTTGCGTGAACTGCGTAGTGGCAAAGTCAAGCAGATCTGCGTACTCGTCGCTGACAACGAGTGTGTAGCCGACATAAGGTCAGCAACAATGTTCACTGAGAACGAGAGAGTTCTCAGTAGCTCATCTATGGACGAGAGTGTCCTAGATGAAAAGACACGAATTGAGCGATATGACTCCCGATCATGGGAATCGCTCAAGACAAATCCTCTCTATGAAGATTTGGTTGAATTCAAGGATGTATTCCCTGAAACTGTTCCGTGCGAATTACCGAAGGATAAAGGTATTCGACACGAAGTCGAGCTTAAACCAGGCTCGAAGTACTGTGTCATGAAGCAGTGGCCACTGCCTCGTGAACAAGTACTTGCGATCGACAAGTTCTTTGCCGATCGTTTAGCTGCGGGCCATGTGAGGGAATTAACTTCCCCACATAGCTCTCCAACCTTCTGTGTGCGAAAAGCAACAGGAGGGTGGCGGATTTTGCATGCATTTAACAAATTGAACGCTGCAACGGTACCGGCTCAGACGCCGATACCGAGGAAGGACGTAATCATTGATGGTATGTCAAAGAGTACCATCTTTTTGTCCATGGATTTGATGGATGGCTTCTATCACATCCTTATGCGAGAACGGGATATACCCTATACCGCAGTTAGCACGCCTAGCGGCATGCTCTGGGAATGGCTAGTAATGCCACAAGGGCTTAGTAATGCCCCTGCCACGTTCAACAGATGTGTATCACATCTGTTGAGACCAGTAAGAGAATTCGCGCCGAGTTCTTTCGATGACGTATTCATCCATAGTCGAGCTATGGATGGAAATTCGGACGTTGAGGTCCACAGGTACCACGTCCGACAGGTTCTTACAATCATGCGTAAGCATCAATTGTATGCAAACCTCAAGAAGTGTATATTTGCAGCAAGCGAAATACCACTTCTTAGGTGCATCGTTGGGAAGAACGGTGTACGTCCTGATCCCGAAAAGATCAAGGCGATCACCGACTGGCCTGTGCCGGTCGATGTCAAAGGTCTTCGAAAATTCCTTGGGCTAGCGGCGTATTTGCATAAGTATTCACGCAATTACGCCGAGATGACTGTGCACCTCTCTCGTTTGTTGAAAAAGAACGAGAGGTGGTTATGGAACGCTGAATGTCAACGCTCCTTTGATGGTATCAAGCAGAGCTTGATGCAATCCTCAGTCCTAGCAATAGCCGATCAGGACAGGCCATTTCATGTGGTCTGTGATGCCAGCGATTTCGCAATCGGCTGTGCATTAATGCAGTACGATCTTGAAGGCGTTGAACGCGTCGTCTGCTATCTGTCGCGTCAGCTGCACCCAGCTGAGCGGAACTATCCAGTGCATGACAAGGAACTCCTTGCCATGAAGTATGCACTCGCGAAGTTCAGAGTCTATCTATTAGGAGATAGACCCTTCATTGTTTACACTGACCATGCGTCATTACGCACGGCAGTGAACAGCCCGCACCTTTCACAACGAATGACGCGGTGGTTGTCATTCTTTGCAGAATACAACTTTACGGTCGAGTACAAACCAGGACGACTCAATGTCGTCGCTGATGCACTCTCACGTCGTCCCGACTTTGAAACAGTCGCGAAACCCAACAGTGAGACAGTCACTGTTGCGGTTATGACGTCCTCAGTCCCATCTACAACGTTGTATGATGATGTGAGGCGGGCGTAGGCCCAAGATGGTGAGATAGTGAAGTTGTTGTCACATCTCTCCCAACCATCTCGAGAATCGTTGAAACGATTGTCGTCTGCGTATCGATCTGCATCAGATCGATATACTACTCGTAACGGTTTACTGTATTATACAGCCGTTTCTGGTGACACACCACGTGTTGTCATTCCAGATGATACTGATCTGCGTTTGCGGATCATGTTCGAGTATCACGATGCTCCTATAGGAGAACATCGTGGCCGGGAGAAAACATATATCACGGTAAGTCGAGACTTTTACTGGCCCCGCCAGTATCAGTTTGTGCGAAAGTATGTTTGCGCATGCGAAGTCTGTCAACGAGTGAAGTCAAGTCCTTCACTGCGTACACCTTTACAGCCTCTACCGGTTCCGGCTGAGTGCTGGGAATCCATCTCAATGGATTTCGTCTTCGGGTTACCCAAAGACGCACGCGAGAATACGGGTATTCTCGTATTCGTTGACAGATTCAGCAAAATGGTACACCTTGTGGCTGTGCCAGAGACAATCACGGCTAGTGGCTGTGCTTGTGTCTTTATTGACACCATCTTCCGACTTCATGGGTTGCCCCGTGAACTCGTATCAGACAGAGATCCACGATTCACTGCTGATTTCTGGCGTTCCGTGTTCAAATCACTCGGAACGCGCTTGAAGATGTCAACATTTGATCATCCAGAGTCAGATGGTCAGACGGAACGTGCCAATCGTGTCCTTGAAGAGATACTTCGAGGATACGTACGCTCCTTTAAGAGTTGGAGCGAGTTTTTGCCAATGGTAGAGTTTGCCATCAACAACTCGGTGCATGCGTCCACGACACATACACCGTTTTACGTGAATGGCTTGCGCCATCCGCGTGTACCCACCTTACTAGAGTGTAACTCTGGTTTAAGGGGGGGAGGGACTCGCGCGAGCAAAAACCGAATTGGTTCACGCTCATCACGCTCTGACGAAGAAGTCATTGCGTTTGATGCCGATATCGATAACATCGATATCGAAGAAGATGATACCAGTGAGAGTGCGGAATCCCTCACTGAAGAAAAGATTGATGTTGCTGCAGTGCACTCACAGCGCACTGAAGCTAACGAGTCATCAGATGATTTCATACTGGCTCGTGAAACGGTAGTCCGTTTTGTGCAAGACTCCATCGCCGAAGCGGTGGATAAGCAAAAGCAAAACGCTGACAAGAATGGAAGGGCAAACACTCTTTTATTTAATAAAGGTGACTTTGTCCTACTGTCTACGGTTAATATACCAAAGCATGTAGTGACTAACTTGGGTAACAGTAAACTACTACCCAAGTACATCGGCCCATTTCGTGTATTGCACCGCCTAGGCAATGCATACACGATCGAGTTGCCACGTAAGATGCGAACGCATCCCACGTTTTACGTTGGTCGGCTTAAGCCGTACCATCAGTACGCTGCTTCTTCCGATGAAGAACGCCCTTGCACTCAAGCATCTCGCAGAGAGCCTTGTGCTCCCGATGGTGGGCATCGACAAGGGTCTGAAGAGCAGCTATCTCATCCCGAGCCCGATCAACAATCCCACGAGCTACCCTTAGCTCGTCACGAAGAGATGTCAGAGCTCTCTCGTTCTCAAGCTGAGCAAAGGCAAACTCAGCTCAATGCTTCAAGACAGTGTCCGCCATTTGGAGACGCCTATTCCGCTCATGTTCGAGATCGTTGCGTAACCCTTGCGTTACGCGATTAAATAAGCTCTCGGGAACACACGGATCTACATGATCGTGTGGAGAGCGTCTTTACTCCTCCCCCACCTCCATTATAGGACTCTCGCGGTGGCCAGCGCTATCTAGTTGAGCGGCTGTTGAATCACCGCGACGTGAACGGACGTCGGACGAGTCATCTCGTCCGGTGGCGCGGCTATCCCCCGTCCTGGGATTCTTGGGAGCCCCGCTCCCAACTGATGATCGACGTACTGGGTCTGGTTGAGCAGTACGACGCGGCACATCCTGTGCCGCAGAAGGACCGCCGGAGAAAGTCTTCCCGGCACGGTCGTAAAGGGATTTCAGGTTGTCAATCCCTTCGTACATATCAATAGAGATACGTACGCGCCACCACGGGCTGGTAAGGAGGTAAGCCTCCTTAGGTGCTCGTGCAGAGTTGTTCACACAACACGGGCACGAGTCTCCCCAAGAGAGGCAGGGTAATCCTTTCTCCCTTGACAGACGATGCAGCTTGTAGCGTGCACCTGTCGGGGTTCGCTTTTCAAACTTATCACGAGCTTTGATAAGTTTGTCGTTCCAAGCGTCACGACCTACATCCTCAAGGTTATGGATGTAAGCGTTCTACGCTTGAAGTAGTGAGGGACCATCACGCTTGTGATTCCCACTGTACCATCGATGTCTAAAGAAAGAATCGATGAAGAACTCATTCTCAGCGCGATAGTTTTTCGCGCTGGGGTCAAGGTGATGAATTCTTGACGAATCGAACAACCGTGTTCGACAACGATCACTCGTCGTCGCCGACAAGTGATCCATGACAGATTGGGGAGGCATCCATGCCTTCTTCTCAGGAGCGAGACGCAAGACATTGCGATCCCGCTCTTCCTGCGATGTGCCGACAGAAGGACTGGTACCTCGCTACGAAGTGGTGTCCATAGGAGAACCGACACCACTGTTAGCGCCCGAGTCTCGCGACCTCGAGCGTCTTCGCTTCGGCGATGGTTCATCTGATGAATCAGATGAACCAAAGATGCTACGACGCATAGCATCATCCGTGCCACGCTTGACAGGCGGCTTGGATTTGATCGCCGTCGATACGGATCCGTCTTCCGTATTAGGAGAGTATGAGACACCGAGCTCATACTCTGTGAAGACATGAGTGTCTTCATGACCAGCGCCTGCATCACCAAGTGACACAGGCTGAGTCGCTTCAGCAACCGATGAGACATCAGATGCTGTGGTTTTTGCATCGGCGTCCGCACAGAGACGTGCGGACGCGCTCTCGGCGGCCTTGCTCTCGCATCGCATGGGCTTGTCAACGATGCGATGAAATGTTGGAAAGTGGACTCGGACCATCAAGTGCAAACCCTGTCCCAAATGATTTAGGACGAGTATTCATTTAGTCAATCAGTCACTAAAGTGACTAATAATTAAGAAGGGGGGTGATGTAACGGGGTGAATCGTTACATAACAATTTATAAGAAATTGTTAATAGAAGATAATTATTAGAGTTAAATTCTCAGAATATTGTCATAAGGACAAATGTTCTGTAGCACTTACGAGTATTTCCTAATTGGTTGAGATAGGCCATTATATCAACCAACGAAGGCGCGCCATGACAGACGCACGCAATGAGTGGTGAGCAGATAGTTGATATGCAAATTTATATTCAGACATAGTTAGATGAGGATAAATCGTGATTTATTGCAGACATTAACTACTATAAATACAGTTCTACTTTTTACTTTAACCAAGTGCTCGCTTCTCCTTGCCGTCTTCCTCTGCACGTACGAGTGTACGTGAAGTTACGAGGCACCGCCTTATTCTGTCGTCAGAATAAGTAGCTTGTACTGTCACCAGTACAAGCTTCAGGGTGCCCCGCTACAAAATGACTGTACGGACTCTCGTGTACCTCTCTTTGCATACTCGTACACCGTTCAAACCTCTGAGTCATGATCTGCGAATCACTATTTGCTGCTTGGTGTATCAGACACGTCCCTAAGCGGGTATTGAAGAGTGGGGCATGAAGTCAGGATGCTGATCCTGAGCTTACACCGTTTACTGGGGACGAAAGAACCTTGGTAAAAATGTGTCCTTTTGGTAGTGGCTACTTGCTGCTAATCAATCGCATTTCGTATTCCATGCCGATTGGGGATAGCACGCCACTCTTGTCACCTCCTCTGCTTTGTGTGTGTCAGTTCACTTCATAGCACGGTGCCTGAGCGAATTGCTGGTGCTTCTAATTGTGGCTGGTCCGGCGAAGGAGGTGCTGATCTCTATATTATGCCTCCTACTCATGAAGTTCGCTGAGCAACAGATGATTCTCTCTGAAACAGATTTGTAGGCGAAAGCCGCGGATGCAGGAATATCGGCGCCAAACTAGGAGTCCTGTTACCACTGCGGTAGTCCCAGTGAGCCATCCTGAGGTTATCCCTGGCCATCACCTCGTAGTCGACTTCTTGCTCTTCAGGTCGGCTCGGGCTCACAACGTGCTCAAATGTGCCCAAACGCACCACTGGACGAAGAGTATCTGGCTCGGTGCTACTGTACATAAACAACCGGTACTGGATCTCAACGAGGGTCGTCATGGTCTTAAGGGAGTTTTCTTCGTGAGACCGGCCTCATCCTCAGCGAAAGTGTCGGCGAGTTGTAGGCAGACCGTGAAGGGTAGGAACTTCTTCGTTTCGCGGGGTGATTCGATCCATCTTAGACGTGTCCTGCACAAGGGTATCCTGCAGACCGCTTCTCTCTCTATCTCTCTCGAGTCACACGTTGCGCTGCCTCCCGTATCGCACGCAGCGAGAAGAAACCTTCCCGCCCTTTTTACATTGGCCCAGCTATGGGAGACTGCCACCCAAGGAAAGGGGGCCAGTTTCCTGGCTCATCGGAGGGTCTCGTCTCTGTCCGTCAATGCAGCTAGCTGCCGATTGGGAAGTGAATCGTCTCACGATCTATGTCTCAGCATGCCTGCGGAAGTTCAAATACTGCACTTCGGCAAAGCAAAGCGATCCACGCACATGGAGGATGACGAGCGCAATCAAGCCATCAACCACTTTCCAAACTTTATATGCTGCTGCTACCTCACGGACGAGAAGTCTGAGATGAATGCTTCAAACATCAGAGGCTATTTACATTCCCCGCCCTTGTTTTCCCCGCCCTACGTGTACATTGAACGAAAACCCACACAAACGGGACGATCTTTAATCACTCGATACGGACTAACACGGAACAGGCAAAACAACCCTCCTTTGATAGACTACTCTCGTATCCCCAAGTACACAAGTGTACTCAGATATTGCGTTTGAGTCACGACTCTGCGATCCCGCCTGCCACCCAGACACAAAAAATCACTGTGTATGCCTGAGGTAATCGTCAAGCATCACGATTCACCGTTAATGATCGAGTTTGACATTGCGATCGTGCGAGCGCTTGGTCAACGGGTTAGTATCGTGAAGATTATTGCACGAATCGTCAGCTGCTACTTCGTGCGCCCGTAATTTTGTAGTCGCCTTGCTCCTCATTACTAACATAGCAGTGCAGTCTCCCACATTTGCGACATCAAGCACCTTGTGAGCGAACAACGCCATGAAGGCGCACGACTCAACGTTGAAGTATCTTTTCGACATGAAGATGATGAGAGCAAGAGCGACTGCTTTACTTCTTTTTCAGAGCGAGAGAAAGCGCGTCGATGATTGCATGGGCCTCATCACTATGCTGAAAGAGGTCATGTCATCAATCATATCCTGACAAATGGATGAGAACGGGTGCACAAAATACATTGACCATATCAAGTAATTGTTATCTCAGGGCAAATAGCTTTCATCCACTTTCTTCACAGCTCTCGAGCCGCCAAGCCTGTCGAAAACCGTGTTGATTTGTATACTAGTCCCGTCGTCTTTACAACGTTCACACCACGGTCTTCGCTCGGATTATTGGTCTACACCGTTAACATGCTTAGCTCAGCAGCAGTTTATGTCTCATTCGCGGCAATACCACCGTACCTCGTGCTCAGATGTGCAATCACTCGAAATACGACAAGAGTTCGATTATCTGTAACAATTCCCTCAATTTTGACGCTTTTTCTCGCTCCTTGTCTGCTGCAAACACCAAAGCTATCTAAACCGATACTGAAGTCAAAGCCTGTCACAGCCATGTACCTCGCCTCACGTTTCACAAGCAGCAATAAGTCACTTGTGCTCAATATTTTGTCACGAGCCCGAAGGATGAAGCTATTAGCGACTGTGTGCAAGGTTGAATGCCGAACTTGTAAATCGTACTGATCAAATTAGGTCAAATCGACGTTGATAAACCGGTTATGGTGATGTAATACCGTCACGCTCACTGTCTTTTTATCCAATCAGCTAGCTTCAAGCAGGTCACGAACCGACATCCAACGCACTAAAAGTTCCGTAATGTGTGCGGCGGGCGCGTCACGCAGCAACAGGAAGCAACGTCCCGGCAGCTTCTGCTCTATCAGCAACGAGGCATCACTTTTCTCAGCGTTCTTCTGTATTGTAGTTACGCCGTGTACAGATGGAATAAGGGGCCGTCACATGATCAAGAGCCGGTCCTCGGTCGAAGAAGGCGATTTGTACAAGCGGCAACAATAGCGACGTCTGTCCTACCCCCTTTGTCAAGCGCACGGGATTCTTGTTCGAAGAAGTGTTGGAGCAGGGGTGACTTCATGACGATATTGCACAAGGAGGAGGGGCAAAGAGCGCTCTCTCCGTGATCAACTGGTCGCGAATTCACTGGTCGCGTTCACTTGAATCAATGATCAGCGATTGATCTGCACGCGTGACGTGAGAAACATGCGTCCATGGCTGTAAACGTGCGTGCTAGTCTTGTTTGACTCACAAGTGGTGCTTTGGGGCGTGTTGTTCGCATCAAAGACGTGTTGTTAACGTTGAATTTCGAATCTTGGCTGCTGCTTCTGGTTCTGCTGTTGCTGCAACTTTCTTATAATCAGGGCGACAATAGACAGACTTATGCATTTTTTCGTTAGAACAGCCCGAAAAGTGATGTACATGGTGTGAGTAAGGTTTCGCATGGGGAAGGTGTAGATGTGGGTGAACGTTGTGCATGTAGAAGTGAAGTATGTGATCCTGTTGCCTGGATACACGCTGTACTACATACCGATTTGCAATCAAGCCGATAGCAGGCATTGTCGTACGAGAAGGACACGCAGATGATGCGGCGCTTATGCGTTTGCACTCAGGTAGAATGCAATGCATTACGATAAGAACGCAGGATAAGACCGTGCCGTGACATACTCGGTAGCTTTGATGCGGGAAAGAGAGCGGTGGCGAATTGATTGTGCAAAATATTTGTTCATGATAGGAGATATTGCTCTTCCACGAACGGATGCTGGTGTGCTCTTCCTGATTCTGGAACAGCAGATATTGCAGGCGTGTCCGAGTATAGAGACTTTCGGGACGCTACTTCACTACTGAGCCCAAAAGTTTCACGTATTGTTAATGTGAATCCGGTGAGGGTTAGCAGACCTGTTTTGCATTAAAGGCGAGGTCTCTTTGTCTTGCTATGAGAAACCACACATGGTTGACTGTAATATCTACGGACGCAACTTCCACATCCTCGATTAAAGGTTCTTGAAGTAGTACCGCGCGACCCTGTCTATGTAATTACTGGAGCTGAAAAATAGCATGCAAAATTGTGTTAACTGAAGCAGACGGACTCTTGCATTAGGTGCTTTGCTCTCGATGCCTGCAACTACGGATACCTTCTGTTCAGCGTGTCAGCGTTTCATTATCCGAAGAACCAACGTGTGGAGATTGCGCGACTTCTCTGCAGCTTCATTGCATTTACGATCGTGATTCTTTGCATTTTTGGTCTCTTGTTGAGCAGGTCTTGAAGCAGTGCTGATTGTGTGACAGTGCATGATGTACACACGTGTGCTTTGAAGTATCCACGCCAGATGCAACTTTTTGCAAAGCTCCCAGCGGTAGTGCCTAGTAGCACCGCACGTGCCAGTTTCCTCGGAGAGCGGTAGTTTAACATTTTCCGTTAAAAGCTGGTGACCGTCCATCTAGCACGCAGTTGGCACGTGACGCTTTCATTCGAAGTTTATAGTCACTACCCATTTTTCTCGTAGATATGCCAAACAGCATTCGGGGCGTCATCTCTGATCGCTACAAGAAATCACACACTACGATCAATTTGCGAGGCGTCCACGTGCTGGACAAGGTGGGGTTGAGAATTTGAAACCGCCATAGTATGACTTCGGTCAACTGTGCTTTACATACTAGAGTAAGAAGTGCGCCACTTTTTCATGCAAAGCGCATCAGCAGTAGGTATGTTGGACCCAGATATTGTTTTCGGGGTCCAACTTTATTCGCACGAAGCGGAGACCGACTGACTATGTATTCCAACTCGAGCATCACCTTAATAAGCAGGATAATACGTTGTTCGAGGACGAGCTCCATATACTGTTTGAACTGTTGACCAAAATGGTAAGTGTGCGGTCGTACCGTCTAATGATGACGTAGTTGCGAACGACATGTTTTGTGGTAATGCTGCTGTCGGACATGGGTGGGCGCTTAAATTACAAACGACAGCAACGTTTCACACAACAGAAAGTGGCTCTCTGCTAAGAAGAATCTTGGTGTATTGCCGGCGTGTGTAGCAACGATGCGGCCACGGAAGAATGGTGTTCGCATGCTACCGTTGCAGCTTGAACAGCTACAGTCGTAATAAAAAGGCCACGTAAATATTTCCTTGTCGATGTCCTGGAATGCTACACCTAAGAGCAAACATGTTGCTGAAGTTGAGCAACAAATGCAACATTCAGCAGATGCTGTGTTGCACGCGCTGGATCACGTTGGCAAGGACTTTTAGATTTCTGTGAACAAAGTGAAGCTTAGAAGTGCGATCATGGTGCCTTTGGAGTTTCTGCTGCGGTCGTTATCCCTTTCAGTATGTCGAAAGAGAAATGGTGTGATTTTACTGCTGGAGGACGGTGGAAAGTAGTCCACGCGACATTGTGTCAGGAGAACCTGGGCGGCTGTTCACTGGTAGTGTGTCATCAGCGATCGCGATGTGGATACAGAGCGCAACGGCCGGTGACCATTGTGTACAGGACAGCGCGACTTCATAGTATAAAATCAGTAATAGTATCACAATTCCACTCAAAGATAGCGAATGGTTTGTTCTTTCGGAAGTGCATTTATGCACGAGATAGGTGCATTTAATCAGCCACCGATGAAATGAGCTGACCTCTAGTGTGTGATGCGCGCGGATCGCGTAGCGCGCAAATCGTTCCGGAAAGCTTGCGCCAAAGTACAAGAAGTCTGGACATATCAAATGTTCCATACGTCTCGATGTCATTTCGATGCAGTTAAGAATTTGATGTACGACGTGGAGGCTTAAAAAGTCATGTCGATGTGCATAGGTGGCAGCCCTCGAGGCAGGACGGTTGATAACGGATAGGAGCATTCTCGTCCACCCGGACCCGCCTGAGCTCAAATAATTTTCCGAGTGGTAAACACCTATACCATGCAGCGCTGATCGAGCATGCTGCCCACAAACGGGTATCACTGCTACAAAATATGATGCAAATACCGGCGCGAGT